CTAGTTTGTTGGCCCAACCCGCTATGTTCCACGAGATAATGTTAAGGCTGCATGTTCCATAACTGGCTTCGCTTCATTGTGGTGGGGAAATTGTTATCAGCTCTCAGACTGGTTTAGTAGTGAAGCAACCGTTCTTAGGATATGCACGGTGTTGCTGTTCTCGGGGTTGAGTTGCAGCATTTTCCCGATTTCCTGGCATCGACGGTGTTATGTGAATTGCTGGGACCATCGGGGGAGGGTCTTCGTCAAAGACAATTAAATCAGTCTCTGGCTTTCTGTGTGTCACATTTCCCTTCGGAGGAGCGTCACTTGGCATTGGCTGATCAGATTCTAGTAAAGAGTGGTGAAATTCTGGATCTGCCAAAGGCGTAATGGAGTGTCCTATCTTTGATTTATCTAGTTTGGGCTGGCGTTCTTTGTGTGTTTGGCCTTTTTGCTCTGACGTTTTCCTTCCCAAGGGAGTGTTACGGCTGGGTTCACCGCATGTATCCATATTTGACGGCCCTTCCGAATGAATCATGGCCCTATGGTGAAAGCCCTTCGGTGGAGAGGGTTTGATTGCTTGGGGTCGGTCCGGCTATACGACAAGTTGGGCAGTAGTTGTTTTCGTTCTGTGTCTTTAAAAACGCGCCTCAACTCAATATTATAATCCTGTAAGAGGGCTTTATATTTCAGGAGCATTTTAGGGGTAGCTGAGTTAGAAAATGTCAGCATGAGTCTAGTGTGCTGGGGGTCCGTGCAAAGCAAGTTTATCGTGATCAGAGTGTTGCAATGGATATTTAGTAAAAGTTTAAAGTTTCTCTTCACACTGTTGATTGATTTCCAGTAAGGCAGCATACCATTGAAAAGATATATATCGAGAGCTACTTGAGTGCTTCGTAGGATCAGGTCCCTACTTTCACTTTTGTTGTTTTTACTATTTGTAGTCTCTTGGTTATCAAGTCCAGACTGGTTACTGTTGGGAATCAAGCCTCTATCGGGAGAAGCTGGCAACTCTCCCAGGCACCCGGCTTGATCTCCGGTGACCTCCCTGGCTCCATTCCCCAGAAAACGCAGGCTAGGTCTCTATAGGCGACACTTCCCAGCGTGGGAAGAGCACACCCACTCTTTCCTGCTTCCCCAGCAGGGAATAGAGATAGTCAGAAACGTCTATTTACATGGTTTTATTTCTGACTCTTCAGCATTACAGAAAACATGTCTGCTCTCTTCAAACATCGGCAAACAAGTGACAAAGACTTCCTGTACAATCACAAGAGGAAGGTCTCATATTACACTCTGAGCAAATTCCGGTGAACTGCCCTGTGAACTGACTGGAACGCTGTTTCCCACAGTCAGCCAAATCACATGATGTCAACAAGCTGGATGTCTGCAGCTGCGATGAGCTCATATGCTGACATCCTCCCCCATATGAATCTTCGTTAGCTGCTGACAAAGCTTGGTCCAGAGAAGAAAACAAACAGTTGTTATAATATAACAATCCCCTGTTGTTTCAGTTCCACCTTTGGAACTACCCGCCACTGGTTTCCCCAGTGTACTTCTCTGGTTGTCTGCTTTCCAAGGAATGAGTGCTTCTGCATTACCTTGGCTAGGGAATGTAGTGTTACGCTTAGCAATTCCCTGTTGCGTCTTTGTCTCTGACTTAGACACACCTTTCACCTTTCTTGAGTTGTCAACAATAGTAACACATGCAACAGCTGAGTTAGCAAACTCTTTGGAATACCTCTTGGGTGGTACACCCTTTGTAACTCGCTCAGACCTGCGTATGAGGTGCTGATCCTCTTTGCTGACTGGTTCATTCTCAGGACTCTTTCATCCTTAACCTGTGAAGGTCTAGACACTGTGTGAGATTTCCTCTCAATGACTGTGTCAACAGAGCTGTTTGAGGTATCTGTGTCACTCTCAGTACCACCATAATCAGAAAAATCATAAAAATCAGAATCATCATCTGAATTGTCTTCAGTGGAAATGTGTGAACAATTACTCTCCCCTGTTCAGGAGCACTTTCTAGAATTTTGTGAGAATCACCTGACCAGATTCAGACAAAATTACTCTATAGAGACCCTTTTCATAACCCACAAAAATGCCTCTTGCATTCTTTACTCCACCTGGAGTAAAGACATGAGACATGAGACAAGACAAGGCTCTTTAATCCCTATTGGAAGCTCCCAGGGAGAGGGGAAACTCCAATGCCTGCCTGCGTATCTGACATCCAATAGCGATAAGAGTGAAAATGTTTATGACACTTTAAATGGGAAAGATGGCAACTAGGCAATGAAACTGCAGGGGCATTTAACAGCAATCCAAGGAAGCCAAAGCACTGTAGGATAAAATGCACGTGCCTAAGACATATGACAAGAGACACAATATACAGATATTTGTTTGAGAAAACCATGCTGCGTCTTGGTAATCACAGCATCCTTTTCTAAGTGCTCACAGGCAGATTGTTTAATTATCTATTCTAGGACCTTGAAGTCAAGGTCACTGCCAATGTCTTCTCCCCCTCCTGAAGATGGGGGAAACATTTGCCCTCCTCCAGACTGCAAAGACCTCACCTGTTCTCCAAGAATTCCCCAGGATTATAGACAGAGGCTCTTGGATACAGCTCATCAGGCCCTGCAGATTTGAATTCATTTGAAGTTCCATTACCATCTTTTTTCCCTGTCTTAGACTGCAGCTCCCTCTATGGATTATTCCCCCCCCCCCTGTTATCACCAGGTTGGGCACTGCTTTTCTTTTCAGTGAAGACAGAGGCCAAGTATGTGTTGAGCAGTTCTGCCTTCACCCTGACACCGAATTTAATTTCTCCATGTTCTCCACACTGAGGACCTACAACTTGCTTATTCTTCCTCTTCCTTTGGGCATAGACAAAGAAACCTATTTTATTATTTGTAACCTCTCCTGAAAGCCTCAGCTCATTCTGAGTTTTTGACCTACCTGACCTTCTCCCTTTAACTGTTGGCTACTTGTGGATACTACACCTGCATGAGAGATAATAATAAAATACTGCTACCCTGATCTTTCAAATGGCACAGGTATCCACCCCCCCCAAAAGATCATGGAGTGAACGCTAGAGAGCACACTTAAAATAAACAGCATATTTTTTAAGATTGTGAGAAAAGAAAGAAAAATGCCAAGTGATTTTGCAGACAACTCAATCAGTGTTTTATTTGTTCGGATTGGGAACATGTGACAGTAATCACTCTGATACCTAAAAGCATCTTATCAATCATGCTTCATATTGGAAATTCCATGTTTTCTGTGCTGCAACACAAGTTGAGCAATCATGCCTCAGTAGGATTCGTGACTTTTCCCATGAAGATGGTGGTACCAGTTTCCCCGTCAACAGCCACCAACCGAAACGGGCGATTGAACGCCAGTACAGAAGGAAGGGATCTAGGAACAATTTTAATGGCAGCAGTAGTTGCAGGTTCAGTGTCGACATTTAAATAAGCTTCGTGAATAGCCTGCAAAAAAATACAACAAAAATTAGTGCAAGATTGTGTCTGACTCAGGGTTTTATCCTGAGAAAATCTAGGCCTTCAAAACAAACAAATCCACTAAATGTCTTAAGAAACAACATCATGTGGTCGTTTCTCACTCTGATTACCTATTGATCTGGTTCCTCTAACCAGTTCTAAGCATCATATTTTTGTATCAGTCAGCCTCAAGGAACTGATGGAATTTTCTGAAAATCTTGATGTCAATCTTCTCCAAAATTATTTTTCCCTAGTTCTTGTCTCTCTCCCTTACTGTTGATGAGAAGCAAGATCCCAATACCAGGCTCATTATGCTAAAAATACGAACACTTCTTTCATATATACATCATGTATAATATTACCCTATTACTCCTATAATATTATAAACACTAGGTTTCCAAAAGTAGCCAGCACATAAACAGATAAATACAAAAGTTTATATAACTGGATAAATGACATATTTTGTAATATACTTTAAAAATATGCTGCAGTAATACACACAGCATATAGTTCATCAGCACTATAGTATATTGCATTTTAAAATGGGGTTTCAGAGTTTTTAGGGGTTTTTGAATGTTTTATGTAGATTTTCAATTTCATTGTTCTGTGTGGCACAATGACAATAAAGATATTGTATATATCGTAAAAAAAAATTACAGTGCCTGAGCAGGTGAGACTAAAGCAGGTATGTGATAAATGATACTGTCTGCACAAAGCTTGCAAATATATCAGCTTTCTCCTCCTTCTCCAATGCTAACTGCAGTCTTTGCAAAGCAACTGATACCGAATCATCTGCTCTAGAAAATTCTGTGTCAGAGGTGGGGAAACTGTGGCCCTCCTGATTTTTTTGGATCCCATCAGCCCCAGATAGCATGACCAAGGGAAGAGGGAGAGCTGAGGCTTAAGAGTCTCTCCATCAGTTCTGTTGGGAGACCAGCTCCATTGGGGCTCCCCCCTCAACTGTCATCAAGCACCACTCATGCCATTAGGGTATAGCAGAGGGAGAGATGGGTTTTTGGTGGCTCTTAATCATCATAGCTGGAATAGCAAATATTTTTGGCTCCTCCTCTCCATGAGAGATGGGATTGTGATTCAAGTACCCCAAATTATGTTCATTTGAACATAATTCAGACAAGAGGATACCTCTGGTGGAAAATGGAGGGTGCAAGAAAATATAGATCAACCTGTAGAATTTTGAGAAGCCTACCTTGGAAATCTTCACCTCACGCTTCCCAGGAATTTCAGAGAGGTCTGCTTGTTCTATTCGCCTGTTGAAAGAGGAACCAGAGGCTAGTGAGGTATTGCTTTGGGAAAAAATGTGCCAGGAGAATTTTGGGTGTTATATGGCAGGACAGAATTCTAATCAAAGGTGTGCTCTCCCAAGCCCACATTCCTAGCATGTTTGCACTCCTGTCTCAGCAATGTCTGTGCTCAATTGATCCTGTTCTGGAATTACAAGGGACTTGGTCTTTACACAGCCTATCACTACCCCTCAAAATCACAACAATATATTTACACCTACAAATATGTACTACACTCTTTCCACTATAGCATGTACACTTACTGTGATTTTGTAGAATTCCTCCATTTTAACAAAACGTCTTTGCTAAGAGCATTTTCCAACTGCTTCATTTTCCCTTGGTCAGGAAGAATAAATAATGCTGAAACGTTGCTCTTGTAAGGGAGCTTCACAACCTTGCAGGACAGGATCTTATCATGGTAAGTCTCAAACCAGCTGACTTTGTTCATCATAGGGACTTTCACCTTTGATTCCTCATCCACATAGAAGTCTCCTCTTCTTGTATTCAGAGAATTGATAGGTTTTTCCCAGTTGGCTTATGGAAAGAACAATAACAGTATACATGTCATTTAGTTCTTCAAAATATTAATTGTCATACTCAGAGCTTTTAATAAGAGCTCCTGTTTTTGTGGCATCTTACTGTGCTGAGATACCTGCCTTTATAGCTCTGTTCTTAATCTAGTTCCCAATTATTTAATATCATTAAAGCCAAGTCCTGACAAAAGCTGACTCAACATAGTTGTTCTAGCTCCCAGTGACACTAGGGCCAAGGCAGTGGAAATGGTCAGAGGGGGAAAGAAAATTTTCTTCTCAAGAGAATATGATTGGTTGTATTATTATCAGGTTAATGAAATGTTTAAAAAGGATTGTAAAGAGTGCGGTTATGTGGGAAAGGATTCAAAATTTCAAACAGAAATACTAAGTAACGACTATAAAATTGTATCAAAAATTTATAAATTGTTGCTGGAATGGTATACAAAAGATGAAGAAGTTGAATCGGTGATGGTACATTGGGCCAGGGATTTTGGATATAATATACAATTGGATGATTGGATAAAACTATGGAATGAAAGATTAAGATTTATGACTTCCGGTGGAGCGCGATCTTGTCGCAAGCGAGGGATTCTTCGCTGAGAAGAATCCCGGCTATTTCGGGTGGGAAAGGGGTGTTACAGGGCGCGGTAGCCCCCTACAAAGCCTCTGGAGGGTGTCCAGGGGTGTCTGGTTCCCGGCAGTGCCCTTAAAGCTGCCCGTCTGGCCGTCAGGTAACCCCCAAAAGGGGCGAAGAGTACGGCAGAACGGGTTAGCGGGCTATCGGGAAGCCAATGCTGCATCCGAATAGCGAAGCCTCAAGCTTGCAAAGAACAGCGCTTCGCTCTCAAAATTAAGAAATTTGGACCTAAATCAACCTAAAACTGCAAGACGTGGAACTAAGGAAGGCTCCGAAATAATAAAGATATTTCCCCCCCGATTTTGGCTGTCATCTGGAATCAGCTTTGATGCAGCAACATATGTAGAGCTGGAAAACGAAAGTAAGTTGCCGCTAGTGGCTATTGTTTCCATTTTCCCCGTAACTCTTAGAAACAAAATAAAGAAGCTAAAAGTAACTTTGCCAAGTTCTAAAGAGTTTGAAAGAAGTATCAGATTTAAAAGGGGGAACAGAAAGGAACTGTTGTGGTGAATAGAGATCTTTGATGGAACGGAGGACATATAGAGAGCCAAGTTCTTTGCCTTCCCACTTTCGCTTTTAAAGATAAAGAAAAGAGACACAGGGGACACAGAAAGGGGACACAGGGGACACAGAAAGGGCTGAAACAAACAGGGGAAGGGCTGAAAGCAAACAGGGGACACAGAAAGGGCTGAACTCCTCAATGCCTTCTTTGCCTCAGTCTTCTCCAATAAAGAAAACAGTGCCCGACCTGAAGAATTTGGAGCAAATGATTCAGCAGAGGAAACACAGTACAAGAATACTTGGCTAGTTTAGATGTATTCAAGTCTCCAGGGCCAGATGAACTGCATCCAAGAGTATTAAAAGAACTGGCAGATGTGATCTCAGAACCACTGGCAGTCATCTTTGAGAATTCCTGGAGAACAGGCGAAGTCCCGGCAGACTGGAGGAGGGCAAATGTTGTCCCTATTTTCAAAAAGGGGAAAAGAGAGGACCCAAATAATTATCGCCCAGTCAGTCTGACATCAATACCAGGGAAGATTCTGGAGCAGATCATTAAGCAAACAGTCTGTGAGCACCTAGAAAGGAATGCTGTGATCACCAATAGTCAGCATGGATTTCTGAAAAATAAGTCATGTCAGACTAACCTGATCTCGTTTTTTGACAGAATTACAAGCCTGGTAGATGAAGGGAACGCAGTGGATGTAGCCTACCTTGATTTCAGCAAGGCATTCGACAAGGTGCCCCATGATATTCTTGTAAAGAAGCTGGTAAAATGCGGACTTGACTATGCTACCACTCAGTGGATTTGTAACTGGCTGACTGACTGAACCCAAAGGGTGCTCATCAATGGTTCCTCTTTATCCCGGAGAAGAGTGACTAGTGGGGTGCCACAGGGTTCTGTCTTGGGCCCGGTCTTATTCAACATCTTTATCAATGACTTGGATGATGGACTCAAGGGCATCCTGATCAAATTTGCAGATGACACCAAACTGGGAGGGGTGGCTAACACCCCAGAGGACAGGATCACACTTCAAAACGACCTTGACAGATTAGAGAACTGGGCCAAAACAAACAAGATGAACTTTAACATGGAGAAATGTAAAGTATTGCACTTGGGCAAAAAAAATGAGAGGCACAAATACAAGATGGGTGACACCTGGCTTGAGAGCAGTAAATGTGAAAAGGATCTAGGAGTCTTGGTTGACCACAAACTTGACATGAGCCAACAGTGTGACGCGGCAGCTAAAAAAGCCAATGCAATTCTGGGCTGCATCAATAGGAGTATAGCATCTAGATCACGGGTGGTGCTGTAGGTAAAAGCCTCAGCGCCTAGGGCTTGCCGATCGAAAGGTCGGCGGTTTGAATCCCCGTGGCGGGGTGCGCTCCCGCTGCTCAGTCCCAGCACCTGCCAACCTAGCAGTTTGAAAGCACCCCCGGGTGCAAGTAGATAAATAGGGACCGCTTACCAGCGGGAAGGTAAACGGCGTTCCGTGTGCTGTGCTGGCTCGCCAGATGCAGCTTTGTCACGCTGGCCACATGACCCGGAAGTGTCTCCGGACAGCGCTGGCCCCCGGCCTCTTGAGTGAGATGGGCGCACAACCCCAGAGTCTGTCAAGAGTGGCCCGTACGGGCAGGGGTACCTTTACCTTTATCTAGATCAAGGGAAGTAATAGTGCCACTGTATTCTGCTCTGGTCAGACCTCACCTGGAGTACTGTGTCCAGTTCTGGGCACCACAGTTCAAGAAGGACACTGACAAACTGGAACGTGTCCAGAGGAGGGCAACCAAAATGGTCAAAGGCCTGGAAAAGATGCCTTATGAGGCATCTCATAAACATTAGGAAGAACTTCCTCACAGTAAGAGCTGTTCGACAGTGGAATTTGCTGCCAAGGAGTGTGGTGGAGTCTCCTTCTTTGGAGGTCTTTAAGCAGAGGCTTGACAACCATATGTCAGGAGTGCTCTGATGGTGTTTCCTGCTTGGCAGGGGGTTGGACTCGATGGCCCTTGTGGTCTATTCCAACTCTATGATTCTATGATTCTAAGAAGCTTCCGACTCCATTGTTAATAGTAAAATAGAAGGGAAATCTGAAAATGCTGCAGTTGCAACGTACAGGAATTAACATTTCTTTATTTATTTTCAATCTCCTTATTAATTGGATTTATAATTTTGGCATATCAAAGTAAAAGTTGGACTTTGTTTATTTGGATTTATCAATTTATTCACCCCGGATTTGGGTACCGACCCCCTAGTGGACAGAATAAGACAGTACAACTTGTTTTTCTGTGCCTCTTCCAATGTTGGTGGAATTTTCTTTGTGGTTGTTTTTTTTTAGTGACCTTCGCTCCACTCCCTACTTGTGCTGCTCTTCTTTTCTCAGTGGAACTTTCCTCTTTGGATATTTGTGGTTATTCTCTGCAGACACTCATTATCATTTTCTTGGAATATTAAACAGATAATCCAGACATTAAATTAAAGGTTTAATTGGCTCTCCTTATTGATATTGTGGAAGGACCATCTCATCCTAAGTGGAATATAATAATTTGGATTTGGAATTAAGTTCCTCATTTCTCTAATAAACTTTGATTTTTTTGGATTTAAATTCTATTTGGATTATAATTCTATTTGGACTACAATTGAGGCAAGTACAAATACAGAAGGAAGAACCCAATTAAGGATTAGCCCAAGTGGGGGCAAGAAGATTGTTTTCAACCTTGGACAGGATTGTGACTAGCCCTTTAACTTTCCCTAAACTATTAAAGGGGGACTAATTAATTTCTAATTAATTTTTTTCTTTTGGAATTTATAAGATATCTTTATTTGCAAAAAAGATCTTGGGTTTTCCATCTCTGCTACTCTTTTTAATTTAAAATTTGTAAATTGGTCATATTTGCTGTGATTTGAACAGGTGGGGAACGTGATAAAGGATATTTTGGGTAAAATGACACATCAACAAAAGAAAGGGATGGAAGGGGGGACACCAACTGATAGGAGACCGTCCAAGCAAGAATCTGATTTTAGAGCAGAAATATTGAAAATGTTTGCAGAAATTAAACAAAGTGAAAAGAACCTGGAAACAAAATTAGAACAGGTGGATAATAAAATGGAACAAGTGGATAATAAAATTGCGGAAATGGATAAAAAAATTGATGAGACAGTTAATGAACTGAAAGGGCAAATAAAAGAGGTTTCCAAAAGAACACAATCACTAGAAGAGGGGTTGAAAAAGACAAAACTGGAGATGAGGGAAGTGAAACAAGAGGAAGAAAGGATGAAGGTGGAGATGATAGAAATAAATAAATCGCAGGAGGAAATTAAAGATGCAATTGCTATGAATGAACTGAGACAGAGGGAAGTCAACCTGAGGCTGAGATCTGTACTGGAAATACAGAATGAGAATGTTAAAGAGAGACTGATCACAGAAATGGCACAGTGGCTGGAGATTCCAGTAGAAGAAGTAGCAAAAACAGTACAAAATGCAATCAGGATGAGAGTAAGAACAACTAAGGCAAGGAAATTTCCAGGGGACTGTTTAATCACGTTCAAAGATCGAGAGATGAGAAATTTGATACTACAGAAGAATAGAGAGAAAAGATTATATATAGATGGAAATTACATCACCATCTTTAAAGATATTCCGATAAGGCTGTTGAAATGAAGAGATCCTTACAAGCCACTGGTGCAGATTCTTAAGAAGAACAAGATTGATTTCAGATGGGAATTTCCAGAAGGAATTTCCTTTTTCTACAAAACTAAGAAACATAAGTTGACAAGCCCTGAAGAAATAGGGAAGTTTACGAGAAGATACAAAGAATTGCAAGTGGAAGAAGAAGAAGTCAAAGGTGCAGAAGGAGGAGCAGGATCCAAGGACGAGTCAGAATCAGTGGAAGAAGAGAGTTCCAAAAAAGAAGAAGAAGAAGTAGGAGAAAAGGAAGACAGGTTATAAGTAAATCAACGTAAATTTATTTAATTGGTCTCTATCATGGCTCTAAAATTATGGAATTGGAATATTAATGGGATGAATGATAAAAAGAAACGAAATAAAATCGAACAATTTCTAAAAAAGAAAAACTTGGACATTATATGCTTACACATGTGGCAAGAAGGCACAGAAAAATTTTGATCAATAAAAGACTAGGGAATGAATTCATATCTTCAGACAAAGAGAAAAAAAGGGGTTGTTTTATATATCAAAAACAAAATTGAATCTCAACAAATATTCAAAGACGAAGAAGAAAGAATTATTGCAGTTCAGATCAAATGGCAAGGCGAAAATTTAATAATTGTCGGGATCTATGCACCTAACGGAAATAAGACTGAATTCTATAAAGCTTTGGAAGAAAAACTTTTTGAATATATGGATCAGAAAATCATAATAATGGGAGATATGAATGGAGTGGTTTCACTGGGAATGGACAGATTAAGAGAAGGAACAAATAAAGAAGGGAAACTACCTAGGACTTTTTTTACAATGACTAAGAATTGTAACTTGATCGATATTTGGAGACTTAGACACCCATTGGAGAAGCAATTTACTTACTACTCAGAACCGAATCAGTCAATGTCAAGAATCGATCAAATATGGGTTTCGAATGAATTGACTCCAAGAATCCAACAAATTGAAATACAACCTAAAGTAATCTCAGACCACAGTCCAATAAAAA